CGTGAATATAGGAAATCCAGTAAAATATCAAACCTCCGGTACCGATGCGGCCGCAAAAAGATCGTGCAAGAACGGGACCGACGGCGACTGAGAATAATTATTACATGTGACAGAAAGGAAACTCTTCCACAAATTGCTGTAGATTTCAACGCTAGGCCATCAACAAGTATCAGCGTGCGAACCATTCCACAAGACATTATCGATATGGGGTTTCGGAGCCGAAGGGCCTCTCGTGTACTTTTGATGACTGCACCACACAAAGCTTTCGCCTCGTTTGGGCCCGTCTACACCGACATTGGATGATCTGATCTGACCTGATCTGACGAGTCTCGTTTAACATTGTTTCGAGCAGATGGACTTGTACGAGTATGGCAACAACCTCAAAAAACGCATGGACTCTGCATGTCAACAGGGGACTGTTCAAGTTGGTGGAGGTCCTTTGATGGCATGGGGCGTGTGCTGTTGGAGTGATATGGGACCCTTGGTACGTCTCTGTATAGTCTAGATACGGCTCTGACAGGTGACTCGTAAATAAGCATCGTGTGTGATCACCTGCACCCATTCATGTCCATTGTGCATCCCGTTGCACTTAATTCCAGAAGGACAATGCGACAGACTGCCGTGCCTCGCACGTCGGTACAGCAGAGGACGCGACCATCCGGTCATAAGCTGCAGCAACTTTCCTGTTTCTTATGCCTCATTGAAGAGTTAGGCGGGCAGGTATGCGGCTCCCACCCGCCGGATGTGCTTCGCGCTATACGTGTGGGTGAGGTGCAAAGGGGTGAGCAAAGTCATGAGCAAGAAACAAAACTGCAAAAATGGAGATGTGAAGGGAAATTATAACTATCAATTAATTAATATCAACATAATAATAATAATTATATAATGAAAGTCTGCTCAAGGAAAATCAGAAAGCAAATAAATTATTATTAAGCAAATAAAAAAGCCTTAATAAAATTACCAATAAAACATAAATCAGTAGTAAATTAATAATTGTTGTAAATAATAAATACAAAATAATATTCGTACACTAATGTTGATTTTGTCCGTGTTACAGGAAACTGTGTAAAATTCGCGGGAAATGGGAGGACATACTCTGCCTGAAGGTTATTTCAAAAGAAATGTCAAAAAGAGAGACTAGTTCTAGATTTTCTGTGCCCAAGAGAACACTCCGGTAAAAATACTGGTAAAAGGAGGAGAGATAACTTATAACTAGCGTACCGGTGCGAAAACTCTCGCATGTATATCTCCACTCTTCCATTAAGAAGGAAAGTTGTTATTTAAACGTGTTTATTTGTTCAAAAATGTATACATGTAATTTCTAATGTACGTACAGAATACCAAACAAAAATAAAAACATGCAAATGATGTTAGAAACAAATTCTCAATAAAGTTATATTCAAGAATAGATGTTTTGGGCAATTCACACTTCCTTATGGTTGCCAGGTATCCCCTATTTGAGCGGACAGTCCGCTTTTTCGTATTATGTTCACTTTTTTCAGAAAATAGTGGATATTCACATTTAATATTCAAAAGCTTTATGATGAAATGGTGCGTAATCAAAAACTGTACAGTCTAAGAGAATATAGACACAAGGACCACTTTAGTCTTCTTTTTCATAAGTTGGAATGAGATAAATATTTTAACTCGATTCTCCCAAAAAAATATTAATCAAACTCAATTGTTACTATTTTTCTAAAATCGCATTTACGTATTATTATATTAAACTTCTTTTTAGTGGGATTTGTATATTTTGGAACACTTAATAACCGACTGCTTGTACCATCAGTTGAAAGTGAACTTTCTAAATTCTTTTAATAATTCTCAACATTATACTAAAATTAAAGAATTATTCCTTAAACACAAAGAACTTATCAAGCTGTGTATTCAAATAAAATGTACACGTGACAGCAAAGTAAAACGTAATCTAATATTTTCAATGAAGTAAGTTTCCAAATTAATTTCTAGACAATCATATTTATAAAATTCATTTTCATGTAATATTTTTAAGTAAAAATTGTTTACTACTTGTTAGGAAGATGGAGGAAAGAAAGAAAGAAGGAAAGAAAGAAGGAAAGAAAGAAGGAAGGAAGGAAAGAAGGAAAGGACGGAAAGAAGGAAGGACGGAAGAAAATAAAGAATTGGTTTTTTCTGTATAAAGGAAAACCCATAACACAACACAAATCGTAGATTCTGACTACCCAACGTACTAGACAATGCAATTTACTTTAGGGCTAAGATATATAAACTTTTTCGTAACTAGAACCTGGCATTATGAGTTGGTATGTCGAAAATTCGCCATTTTAGGTGTCTGTCCATGTGTGTGTGTCTGTCCATGTGTGTGTGTCTGTCCATGTGTGTGTGTCT